TTTCCCTCTTTCTATAAGCCCCAATTCCTTACTCTTGATCTCCTCCTCCATTTTCTCCGGCGACGGCGACCACCAGATCTCTGAAGAACACAGAGAGAGAGAGAGAGTGAGGAGTATAGACGGTAGGGGGAGTAATAAATAAGGAGATGACGGCCATTACCATTGCTTCGTCACCATCAACGCAAAGGAAATGATATTTTCCTCGTCTCCTTTAAATTTCCTCGACTGTTCTCAGTGCCTTTCTCAGCTTTAAACCTACTCATCTTCATCGATAATTTTTATATAATTTGGATCGAAATTTGTCTTATATTATAGGGAAAAAAATAGTATATTCCTACGCAAATGTATTAAAATATACTAAAAATTTACACAATTTTTTATTTTTTTAAAAATTACACAAAAATTTAAATTATTCTGAAGGATATGAAGAGATTAGGGGATTAAAACACATGTTTCCTTTTCATGATATCCCATCTTTGTTGACTTTGTTTGTCCTAACGGTATTCTCCTTTTTTTTTTTTTTTTACTTGATGAGCACCCGCGCATCTTTATTCTTTTTCTAACTGTATAATTTGTTAATATTAATATAATCAAAACTGATATAGATTATTTGTTAGATATATTTAAAAAATATGTCTATACAATTTAATTATTGTAAATCATCATTATATTATTTATATAAAGAATTAAAAAAATAAAGTTTAAAAATATGAGTGTCGTTGTCTAATTTTGTATAGGTTTGATGTTAATAATTTGTTGAGCTGTCTTAAATCTCATTTTTTTCCAATCTCTAAAAATATTTAGTTAAAAGTTATTAATAAAATAATATATGAGTTATTTTGATAATGGTTAAATTTATATATTTGTCATGAATTTTGATAATGGTTATAATATATGAGTCATTTTATTTGTGGGTTACCTCTCGTTATATATATGAGTATGAACCTTTTTTTTATAATCTAAAAAATTTATCGAATATTTGGTCCGACTATATCTATCAAAGATCGAAAAAGTTCATGTGAAAATGAAAATTCGAATCTGGATTAAAATAAAAACTTAGTCAAAATTATTTCCTTATGGCATGAGCCACCAAATATTAGGTGACTAGACTAGGTACTTTCTCTTGTCCTCTTTCATGATTTCCTCTCCATATTCTTCTTGATTCGTCACATTCTCATGCCTTTGGTATCTTCAGAAATTACGAAATTAATCGCAATCTCTACGCCAATATTAATAAAATTAAAATATAAAATCTAACATGTCACGTCATAAAACTTTCAAGTGTGTATGTCCATGTCATTCTATTATTGTTATAAATTTTATACAATATATTCTCATATTTTGTGACGTCGCATCTGCAATATGTTTTAATATTTTGATAGCACATGAACATATACCTAATTTTCTGCATTGAGTAGTCTTAAATTGTTGATTTATATATATATATATATATGGAGATTATAGTTTTATGTTATTATTTATTAAAATATTAAATTTTAATGTATTTTATAATATCTTTAGTAATTTTTTTATTAAATATAGATACAATATTTTGTTTGATTTATTGAATTGTGTTGAGATGTTATTTTTTTCGTATTTTATAAAAGAAAAAATTTGCTCACAAAAAATAGAATTTATTTTAGAAATTGATCCTTGTAATAATTCATTGTTTGTAAGATGAAAAAAATTATATACTTTTTCTTTGCAAGGCTAGCCAGAAATTAAATAAATAAATCTTTCAAATATTTTATTAGCACATGTCCAATTTCAATCGTCTCTAACATTTAATATTTGCTTTGTTTTTATTCAAAACCACAATTTATTTTATTTATTTTTTGTCCAACATTGTAATTAAGATACTTAGACCCTCTCTTCATTAATTACGCGGTTGATGCGTTTGGCCTAACGTTACAGATGAACTCAACCTATTCTCATAAATTACGTTTGCCTCATGGTCGTGGTCGTAATTTTACTTTTGTCGTTATTAGAAATTGATTTTTTTTAAATCGAAGATTAGTAAAAAATAAAATAAAATAAAAGTAAGAGACATTTTTCAATAATAGTGTTTCGTTGCCTTCAAAATTCACAAAACGAATAATGGAAATTATGATTTAATATAATATGTTGTATACGTTATTGTATATCCCAAACTTATATTTTTACAACCATAAATGTCCATTGCAAATCCTCTAGAAAAGGTTGGACATTTATATCTTCTTTCTCCATCTAACTATACAGTTGGCATTGATTTCCCTAGCACGTGCTGATTTTCTTTGGACTTGTTTATATAGATATATAATTTAAATTAATAATAAGTCCAATTTAATAATTATTTTATAATAGTATTTTCATCAGATATCTATCTTAACAATAAATAAATGATGAAAATACTTTAAACTATACGGTGCTTTCCACACAACATTTTTTTTTTTCATTGTGCTTTCAAAAAATATTTATTCTTAGATCTCATCTGAAACTAAAAGTTGTTGAAAAAAGTTTGAATAAGAAATTGAGACCAAAATCAGTTGAACACGGAATATATATATATATATATACACGTATGTAAATTATATACTAATTAATACAAAACTGCAAGATTTTGGTCAGGGATGAATATTTAGAATTTTGGATTCGACTTAATTATTTTTTGTTCGAATTTTTTATTTTAAATTTTTCTGTTTATTCGGGTTTGATATTAAATTATTTTTCTTCCATGTTTTGGATGCTATGAGAATATATATATATATATATATATATATATATATATATATATTTTTTTATATTAT